GCTAGAGCGCCGCCCTGCGGACTGCAGGGGCCCGGGTTCAATTCCCGTCTAGAGCATGTACCTGGTTTGCCGGCCCTTCCCAGCCAGGTTCCTGATCCCAGCCTGTGCAGGAGGCAACCGATCGATGTCTCTCTCTCACATCATTTTCTTGTCTTTCCCTTTCTCTTCCACTCCCTCTAAATATCAATATCCTCTGGTGAGGATTAACAAAACAAAAAACCAAACTGGGGTGTTTTTGGAAGGAAAGGAGGAGCTATTGCAGGTTTGGGACTGGAGGAGCCGCAAACTGGCCCCTGGCACACAAACTGGCATCAGCACGGACAGCTGGCCTTGCTCTGACTGTCGCTCTTTCAGACAAGCCTTCCCTAAGCCCAGCTCCCAAGACACATTCCCCCATGTCAGTGTGGGCCCCCGGCTTGGGCTCCTGGTGAAGAAGGGGGATCTGGGAAGTTCCTGGATGCAGGTGAGTCCGGACCGCGTGGGGAGGGCGGGGAAAGGCCACTTCCTGGGAGGTCGCGTCCCCGGAGTGCTGCCCCGTGCGGGGAGGAGGGGCTGAGGAGCCGGGCTGGCTACCTGAGCATCTTCCCATCTGGGCTTTCCCAGAATTGGAGGCGAGGGCTGGCCTCGAGGGGCCGGTGGGTTTGGAATGGAAGCCAGCCGCCTGGGCAAGAAACAGGCTGGGCTCAGGAGGGAGAGCCGGCCATTCCAGCAGCCACGGGTCTTTCTTGGGGGAAGGGGCAGAGGAACGACCACGTCAGGCAAGCCTTCCTCGTGGGCCGGAGCTGCGTGCAGACGGTGGGAGCGCTGTGCCTGCTTTTTCTATTTATGGGCCCAGCGAGGGAAAAGTGTCCCCGGTGACAGCCTCTCCTGCCCAGTCGTCATATTAAGCCTTTCTTACATCCCACGGGCCTCTTACCATCCCCAAGGGGGGTGTGGAGTGTTGCCTGTGGCTCACCAGCATTCTCAAGAGAGCCAGCCCTCGGCCAGCAGTTTCTGGGTCTCTCTGCCCATGAGCATCACAGCTCAAGGCTGTCCCCTCGGGCAGGGAAAGCGCTCTGGACTGTGAGGTCACTTTGCAGGACCAAGACTTTTTCCCCGTGAGCCTGGCCCACCCGGATGG